CCTTCACATCACAGTAAAAAAGAGGACAAGCACAAATATCCAGCAACTACTAAAACAACAGCAACAAAGGAAACGATAACATGGTTCATAAACATAATGAGCTCAGCACAGAAAATTATATGGAACAAAGGAACAAGGAACACCATAAAAAGACACATAACAAAATGACAGCAACCAATTCATACTTGTCAATAATTACACTGGATGTCAGTGGATTAAAAGCACCACTCAAGAGATGGAGAGTTGCAGACTGGGTAAGAAAACATAACCCATCAATATGCTGTCTACAAGAGACACACCTTAGAGACAAAGACAAAAATAGACTAAAAAAATCAAAGGTTGGAAAAAGATATATCAAGCAAATGATAAGCAAAAAAGAGCAGGAGTGGCAGTGTTAATTTCTGATCAAATTGACTTTAAGACAAAAACCACCATATGAGACAAGGAAGGACATTGTATAATGATTAAAGGATCAGTTGAACAAGAAGATATAATCACAATAAATATCTATGGATCTAATGAAAGAACACCAAAATCCATAAATCAGACTTTGAAAGAGTTGAAAAGGCAAATAAATGACTCCACAGTCATAGTGGGAGTCTTCAATACACCACTTTCAATGAAAGATAGAATAACTGGAAGGAAACTCAACAAATATGCAGAAGAGCTAAGCAGTATAATTCACCACTTAACCTTATAGACATCTACTGAGCACTTCACCCAACAACAGCACAATATATGTTTTTTCCAGTGCACATGGAACATTCTCCACAACAGACTATATGTTAGACCACAGAGCAAGCCTTAATAAATTTAAAAACATTGAAATACTGCAAACCATCTTCTCAGATCACAATGCTATCACAATGCTATCAACTTAGAAATCAACAATAGGAAGATCAACAGAAAAAGAGCAAGCACATGGAAACTGAACAATACCTTCCCTAAGAAAGATTGGGTAAGAGAAGAAATAAAAAATGAAATAAAAAAATTCCTAGTATGAGAACACAAAATACCAAAATCTTTGAGACACAGCAAATGCAGTGATCAGAGGTTAATTTATAGCAATAAATGGACACATCAAAAAAGAAAAAAGAGCCAAAATCTACACTTAAAACCATCTCCAACCATTAGAAAAACAGCAAGAAAAGCCTACAGTCACCAGAAGAAAGGAAATAATAAAGTTGCAAGCAGAAATCAATGAAACAGAAAATAGACAATAGAAAAAAATAAAACTAGAAGATAGTTTTTTGAAAAGATTAATAAAAGTGACAAACCACTGGCAAATTTAACAAAGGAAAAGAGGGAGAGAATACAAATAACACGAAGAAACAAAATGGGCAACATGATAACAGAACCAACTGAAATAAAAAGGGTAATGTCATGATACTGTGAAGAATTGTACTCCAACAAATTTGAAAATCTGGAAGAAATGGACAGATTTCTAGAGACACACTACTTACCTAAACTAACACAGACTGAGGTGGAAAAGTTGAACAGATCCATAATAAAAGAAGAAATTGAACAGGTCATAAAAAAATTAACAAAAAATAAAAGTCTTGGGCTGAACAGTTTCACTGGAGAATTCTACAAAACATTCAGAGAAGAACTGACACCAATCCTACTCAAACTTTTCCAAAACATAGAAAAGGATGGAATCTTTCTAAATTCATTTTATGAAGCAATCATAACCTTGATACCCAAATCAGGCAAAGACATCACTCAAAAGAAAAACTACAGACCAATATCCCTCGTGAATATAGATGCAAAAATCTTCAACAAAATCCTAGCCAATAGACTCCAACAACATATCAAGAAAATCATACATTATGACCAAGTGAGGTTCATATCAGGTATGCAAGTTTGGTTCAGCATTAGAAAAATCAGGATCCTACACCACATAAATAAAACAAAGGAAAAGAACCACATGATCATATCAATTGATGTAGAAAAGGCATTTGATAAAATCCAACATCCATTATGATAAAAACTCTCAGGAAAATAGGAGTAGAAGGGACATTCCTCAGCATAATTAAGCTCTGATAGCGTAGTGCTTAAGGCACTTGACTGCTAATCAGAAGGCTGGCGGTTCAA